CAGAACTGGTATTCTTTAATTAAAGTGTGGGGTTCCAATCCTGAAACTACATTGAGATTTTCCCAAGCCAACTTTTCACATCTTCATCTTATCCTAACCACTCTCCTCTATTATCTTTATTCAATTCAACTCCTCTCCACCATTTTCCTGAGTATTTTTTGGTGGATACTCATCCCCCCTTTTTTTTCCCATGTTGTGCAATTATCTTTTACTGCCTTTTCCCTTCCTACTTGGTTCCCTTGTTGTTGGAATCTCCTTGGTAGGGATGCACTTTTGTCATACATGTTTCTCCCTCTTTTATATTTATGTGATCTTTGGAGCCCTTTTTTTTGCACCAGTCTGTATTTGGAGATGTTCATGACATTTTTGGAGTCCAGGGTGAAAGCTGCATGTCAAAATTCATCCCTTTCCTCCTTGGTTTCTCGTCTTCCCCAGTCCCTCTTGTGTCTCGCCTTCCTGCTTCCTTCCCTCTCCCAGTGCCTTCTTCCCAAGTTTCAGCAGTGAGCCACCATGTTTTATGTTAATGCATACTCTAGCACCAATGGCGTTGCTGACTATTCCGTGCAGTTGACCAGGTTTGTTTATCTGTGGTATTTTAAACTACAGCTCCCTGGTTTTTTCAGGTGTTATCAGAAAGATTCTCCTTTCATTTCCTGGCCTCTCCCTCATTATCCCCACTTCCCATTCCCTTCATTTCTACACAGGATATCGTTTTATGCCAGTGTCTATCAGAAGCAGTTCCAGGTCTTTAGCTCAAGGGTGCTATCGAACAAGTCACCCTTTTTTGGGGTTTTATTCCCAGTTGTTTGTTTTTCCCAAGAAGACTTGGGATTGACATCCTATCATTAACCTACCCAACATCAACTGGTTCATCAACCTCCCTAGGTTCACCATGGAGTCATTCCTCACACTCTGTTGGGCATTCACTCCAGGTCTCTGGATGTTGAAGGTTGATGTCTCAGATGCATACCTTCATTTCCATATCTTTCCAGCCTCCAGGTTGAGTTTTCCAATTCTGCAATCTTGCTTTTGGGCTGCTGTCAGCACCTTACATCTTCTGTCATGCCTTTGCTCACAATCTTTACATCCAGGATTTGTGGTTCCATCACTACATGGACGACTGGCTAATTTTAACTTTGTCCCAACAAGCTTCTCTATCTCAAACCAATTTCTCCTACAAGAGGCTGCTCAGATGGGATGGCTAGTCAAGTTGAGTAAGTCTTATCTCAACACCACACAGTATCTGATCCATTTGGGGGAGTTTTTCAACACCTTCCTCAGCAGGTCCCAGGTTGCTAAAGCTCTCGGTTTAGAAAACCAATTGATGTGAGGTTGTGTCTCTTTTGGGGACCTGGGCATCCATGGATGCCATTATACCTTGCAGTTATGCACACATGCGTGATCTTCAGTGGGTGTTGCATGATCATTAGAATCTCGTTTGGGATCCCTTTGGTTCTATCCTCCTCCTCCTCCATGTCCTGAGTTGCAACTGTTTACAGATGCTTATTTCACAGGATGGAGGGTGGCATATATGGATCATTGGGAGGTCAGTGGTCGAATCTTCTCTCCACATCAATATCTTGGAACTTCTTGCCATTTATCAGGCTTTGATGCATTTTCTATCTTCTCTGTAAGGCCATATGGTAATGATTCATTCCAACAATTTAACCATTGTCTTTTACATCAAATGACACCCATTCACGTTCACTTTGTTTTCAAATATTGGATCTATTTTCTGGGCTCAACCTTAGCAAATCTGCTTTCTAGCTTCTCATGTCACAAGTTATCTCATTCTGACAAGATCCTGCCCACAGAGTGGCGCCTCACTCCCCAAGGTTTTTGGTGTTTATGCCCCCAGTTTGTACTCCTCTTTTGGATGCATTTGCTACACATCTTAATTCCAAACTACTCTTATTCTGGTTGTCTGTTCCACATTCTTTGGATTTGGCTGTGGATGCATTCGGTCAGGATTGGATCAACCTTTACCTCTATGCCTATCTTCTTCCTTATGTTCTCTCCCAGATCCAAGCCATTCCATGTTGAGTCCTTCTCATTGCCCTGTTCTGGCCTGCTCAGCCATGGTTTCTGATCCTGACCTTCATGCAGTTGTTCCCTCCATTTCCCACTCATCCATTTCTCATTTGTATTCCCACTTTGATCCAAGTTGTCTTCTTTGTCCTGTACATGCTCTTCATTGTTATGTCACCTGCAGTAATTCCTTCTGCAATTTCCATTCCAGCCTCTTTGTCCCGTGGTATTCTTTCTCTACCTGTGATCACTCTTCTGGGATGGTTATGCCAATTTATATGACTGGCTTATGCATTTTTGTCTGAGGATTCCTGTTGCATTTTCCACGTCTCCTTACACCAAATTCATCATCTTACCTTCTCCTTGGCTGCCCACATCCATTGTTTTTTGGAGGAAATTATATAGGCTGGCATGTGGATCACATTATACTTCTCTGTTGGTTCAGATGGTGAATACTCTCCTCCAAGTGTGGACCAGAAGAAAAATACCCAATGGGACCTTGTTTTGGGCTTGACAAATCTGTCATATCTGGTTCACCCTTCTAACTGGCATTCCTCCATCCTACCAATTCCTGGGTGTCCTGCTGTTGGATTAGCGCAAGATCAGGCAACATAGTACCTCATGCTTGTGATTGGTAGGGCTCTCCTACCATAGACTGGACGATAAATTTACAATGGTGCCAGATTTTGGACTGGAGTTGATCCACCATGTTGTATTCGTGTTTTTAACAACGCCCAGATGTCAAGTTCTCAGGTGGCCTGGTGTTTGGTTGTGTGCTGAGTCTGCACACATGTGCCTGGCCATGGGTTTGGGGAATGGAAGTTCATTTTCTCATTCTTGGGCTTGAGGTGAAAATGGTAAGGATCTTCCTCCTACTGTGGACCAGATAACAAATTCCCGATACTGCCTGGTTTTGGACTTGAGTTGACCCACTGCTTGTGCCCTACCCAATGTACATCATCTAATACATCCAATTACAAATTAGATGTGCATTTTTTCCCATTTGATTTATCAACACATATTTTTACAATGGGTATTGTATCAGAAGTTAACATTTTCTTACACTGAAAATGTATTTCAGATAGATGCTTACATTTTGTCACACTTCTCACCTATCCTCCCCCACTATCAGTGCATCCTTTTGCCTAATATCAAAGTGGGGATAGTTCTCTACAGTGTAGAGGGAGTCAACTGTGTGAGCAGGGTGTATTGTACTCCTGTTTGGGGAGGGTTATCACATGCTATAGCACAGCCATACCATGTGTAATTATGTGAGAGCAGGTGGGAGCATCAAGGCTTGTAGTCAGGAAAAGCTATTATGTGAGGGGAGGTATCTATTGGAAATGCAGTTAATGTCTAAATCTAATATTCCACAAGTAAATTAGCATTAGAGACAGTGCCCAACCATTGTATTTTAGTGGATCTTAAGTTATATAAAAATACATTATAATTCTATAGGGATCTTTCACCCTAAATTCCACTTGTAGATTAATGACAATGCATACCTGTCGTAACTTAATTTAGCATCACAGAGTTCTTTGATTTCTATATGAATGCTTGAATAAATTCCACAAATGGCTTATTGATAGTGTCCTCATTTCATAATTTAATATCTTAACTCAGCAACAAAAACTGCATTGATTTCTGTAGAAGTCCTAATCCCTTATTCTAAGTTCCATAACTTAATTAATGATATTTTCCACTCTTCATAACTTAATGCATCTTATCTGAGCAACATAACCTTTCTTTTTCAGTAATAATCCTTGACACTCAATTCCACAAGTGGATTAGTGATAATTTCCATTTGTAGCATAATGGATCTTAACTGAGCAACGAAATTTGATTTCTGTAGTCGTTCTTGATTTTAAGCTCCACAAGTAAATTACTGACTACCTTTCGTAACTTAATGAATCTTAATTGAAGAAAATAAACTTCATAGACTTCTGTAGTAGTCTGTATATCTAACTCAAATATTATACAAGTAGATTAGTGATAGTGTCCACCCTTCATAACTTAACTTATCTTAAGTGAGGAACAAAAATTCTACGATATCTTTACGGGTTCTTCATTGTAAGTTCCACAAGTAGATTAGTAATATTATCCACTTTCCAAACTTAATGGATCTTAACTGAGCAAGAAAAACTCCTGATTTACTTAGGAGTATTTAATTCTTATATTCCACAAGTAAATAAGTGACAATGTCCAATCGTCGTAACTTTATGGAACTTAGCAACAAAAACTTTCCTGATTACTCTAGGATTCAATGAATTTAACTCACAAACTCCACAGATAGATAAGTGCCAATATCCACATTTCCTATCTTAATGGATTTTAACTGAGCAAAAATTTTTCTGATTTCTTTGGAATGCTTGACTCTAACATAAGTGGGTTACTGACAATTCCCACTCATCATAACTTAGTGGATCTTAAATGAGCAACAAAATGTTTGTTTGTAGACGATATTAACTCTAACTCTAAATTACATATTTAGATCAATGATAGTGTCCACCCTTCATAACTTAATAAATCTTTACTGAGAAAAAAAAATACTTTCAATTATCTGTAAGGGTATTTGACTCTAGATTCCACAAATAGATTAGGGATAGTACCCACCATTCATGACGTAATGGATTTTAACTGAACAAAATAAACATACATGATTTATCTAGGAGACATTGACTCTGACTCCTACATTTCACAAATAGATTAGTGCCAATGTCCTCATTTCATAACTTAATGGATCGAAAAACAAAACTTGCCTGATTTCTATAGGAGTCCTTGACTCTAAATTTCACAAGTGGATTAATGATAGTGCCTACCCTTCATAACTTATGGATCTTTAATGAGCAACATAAACTCGTCTGATTTTGTCAGGCCCTTGACTCTAAATTCTAGAAGTAGGTTAGTGATAGTGTCCACTCTTCATAACCAAATGGGTCTTAACTGAGCAACAAAACTTCTGATTTCTTTAGGGATCCTTGACTCGAGCTTTGGGGTTAAAGATGAAGCAAGATCTCCATCAATCAATCAGCTTTCAGTCTTCTCCTCTCACACTTAAAGAAGGTGATGGCCACAGACGGGTAAAGTCACAAGGAGACATTGAAACCTTGACTGTTACTCCAGTCTGAAATATGGGAAAGTGTTTAATTTGTTGTATAAGAAAAGAAAACTTTATTTAAGAATAAGATGATTGAATGTGTGAAACGTATAATGTTACCATGGCAACTGCTTTGTATTAACAATTACTACTTGAGAACATAAAAAGTATAAACAAGTGTCTATATGTTGTACATGTCTAACCAAGTCTGAACATCTGCCTGTAGGTGGTGATCTCCTATTTAGTGCTGAATAACCACAAGAAATTACTATTATCTTTCATTTGGGACAACCACGTGTTGTGTTGTAATCGAGTTTTGAATTTTAATTATAGCACCTTGGTTCTCTGAAAGTGTTGTTTAAAACACTTTATTAATTTAATTTTTTTTCATTTCTCTTGTGCCAATGTGATTTTAGGAAAAAACATGTTAATGATATCTCTTGATATACATTAACATAGTTTTATCAACTCGACATGTGGTGTGGTGGTAATTATTGAAAACACCCTTCCCTGAAGTACAATATATAACGTAAGTACAAACATACACGAAATTAATTTATGGATGTGTTTCTATGGTAGCAAATGGGTACAGCTTTATTATTATTATTATAAAAATGAAAATTTGCAAAATAATTAACTGTAGCACCTTTAATTAATTAATTAACTGCCAAGTTATGGGAAAAAACATTTAGTGGGTAAAATGTGGACAATTAATATAGTTCCTGTATGAACAGAATATTCATAGAGTTGTCATGGTAACTAAATGTTGTGTTCGTAAACAATATTGGTGTAGTCAGAAAGTACTGAACCTATGATTTTTGTTGTCATAGTAACTCAGTGTAGCCTGAGCCATTGCTGAAAAAAAAGTGATGATCAACAGTTAAATGGACTTGTCCTCAGTCGCTGAAAGCACCTGGTCCTACTTCTAAAGATTCAACTGAATGTGTGCTTTTGTTAAAACGAGAGGTCACATAATGCTCAAAGTTGTTTTAATATGATCTTGATAAAAATGTATCTTATTTCAAATGTATGTAAAATATAACTGTTCGTCTTAAGTTGTTTTTAACCTACCAAATAGTGAACTTTGACAATTGAAAAATATGAAAGGCTGATCACGTGGTTTTATATGTAATAAATAGACGTTTATCTATTTGATACTTGAGCAAAACAAACTCAATCTGAAACGTGTGTTTCAGATTCTGTAAACTTTTAATTACTTCTGTATTTCATATAGGCATCAAAGAAAGGGAATTATAGTTACCATAAGTTCAAATGTGATAAGTCTGTTAGAGAAAATAATGGCAATTTTTCTATTGTACTTGAAACCATGTGACAGTTTTAATTTAAAGTGTCTTCTCAGTAATTAGATTTTAAGAAATGTCACTAAAATGGGCAATGAAAAATAGTTTTTTCTTCGCAAACTTTGTAAAAAAATGAATATGTGGCATTAAAACACTTCGTTCAAGGAATGCAACATTAAAGTGTTAAACCGGTTTTAGATTAATAACATTAATTTTGGAAAAAGAATGTTTAGTAAATGTTACCGTTTATTTCGCGTATAAAGTACAGACGGTTGTGTCTTCATCGAACTTGTATTTATGACAGTTTTATTATGTATCAACACTTTTTCCTTCTCTGTTATAGAGTATTTGTACCACTGACTGCAATAGAACAGCATTATAAGAAACCATACAGCTTACATCGATTTTAGTCTGATTATAAAAGGTTAGATCAAGTTAATTGGAATTGCGTATTCAGGAGGCAGTGTTGATTTTTAAGCCTAAACATACAGTATACACGTTTAAAAAAAAACAAAAGTTTCGGAAAGCTTCTACCATACACACACAAAATGTTTCCAGAACATATCTAACTACTTGTGGCAGCCATTTTGTGACAAAGAAGATGTTTTTGTGTGATATGACACACTTCTGTGATTGGTTAAAGATAAAAAGTTCCTGAAACATGCTCAGTAACACGTCTGTTGAATGCTGGGTCTTAATCATACCTAGCTCAGTGTTCTGAAATGTTTTTATAAGCAGAGAAAAATACACGTCTGTTAATTTTAATACTTTTCTGTAAAATTATTCAAAACTCCTGAATTTAAGCTCATTTTAAATTTTGTACTCCTATTTTGTAAATCTTGATAATTAAAAAATATAAGGTTAAAAAGAAAACCGATAAACTTTAAAAAATGCTCTCTGTTCTTCATAAATGTATTGTAAATTAAGTGTAAAACAATACTGGTATTTTGTTTATGTGTGTGTGTATATATATAACTCATTGAATAAGACAGGCTATACTTGTCGGATAGGACCAGCCATTAATAAGACACTCTAATAGCATCAGGTATTCAAGTTTTGAATTAGTTTGAATTAATTTTAATCGATTTACTTGTTATTTTACTTCAGACTATTGTTTCATCCATATTATCCAAAAATAAATCGAAAATATTCGTTTCGGCATACTGAAAACCAATGGATACTGTCAATGGCTGTCAGAAAAACCATTTATGTTTTAGAGTCAAAGTTTCCACAAGTCTCTATCAAGAGTAAATTTACATTTACGTTAAAACTCGCAGTCATTGCTTATTTTTGTTGTTGTGTGTGGCCTTCGGTGATCAGTTAATAATTTATGAATTCTGAGTTATCAATAAATGTTGTAAAAAAAGCCGTTTCATGAAAACCTGTTTATTGTTGTGTTTTATGTTGTTCTTGTAAAGGAGAATCAGTATGATGGAAAATATTTTATCCATCATTTCTGTATCTTTCGTATTTTGTATATGATTATAGTTCCTTAAAACCTAAATTCTTTCGTCTTGTGACGTCCTCTAGTGAATTAAAATATTGTAGTTGATCTGATGTTATAAAGTATGATGAGAAAAATAAAGAAATTCAGAATTTATCTTTGTTTCAGTATGGTTTTTCTATTTAGCTAGAAGTATGAGAGTGTTTCATTTCCTCCAGTGTCTTTTCAGCAATAAGAGAATCATGCGAATGTTTAATTTTTTACTGTGTTTCCAGTAACAACAGATTCGTGAGAGTAGGTAATTTCTTCGGTTTCCTGTAAGAAAGAACCGTGAAAACGCACCACCTCTCAGTATAATTCTTGAAATTGAAAATTACAGTAAGATGCAAGAAATCCCATGGTGATTAACTGAATTTTGTAGAAACGTTCAATTCGTGAAGGAAAAGGGAAACTCAAGAGACGATGCAAACTTCATTTTAAAAAAACATAAAAAATTATGTGAAAGTGACAAAATGCAAATATGTAAATAAAACGCATGTTGTATTATAGTAACTTCTGCTATGTTTCTTTGTCTGTCTTTTATCATGTGTAGCGCGGTTTTGTTTTCCATTATTTCTAGTTCTGTTGAGTGTAGCTGCTTCTTATTTTTTGCCTTTTATTTTATTATATGGCTTAGTTGTTAGGGCATTTGACGCGTAATTTGCGAGTCGCGGGACCGAAACCCATCGTTAAATATTCTTGCCGTTTCTTTTGTTGGGGCTCTTTCTGGTTCTAATTTTGAAGCGATAGACTAGAGGGAAGCGATTAGTCAACACTGCCTACCGCAATTCGTGGGCTATTCCAAGTAGATAGTAGAATTCGACCGTCACTCTTATAACGCACCCACGACCCAAAGCGCAGAACGCGTTTATTTTTCGGCGATAAAAGGGCGCTTAACCTCCGAACTTCAGTCCGGCACGCTAACCAGCCCGAGTACTAAAGGAACCATAGAAAAATAAAACAAGTGATATTATTTTATTGTTTATGTACTTTTTTTTTCAAGTATTATCCTTTGTTTTGTTTTAATCGTATTTTGTTTTATTTTCGATCTTCTCTTTTTAGTTTGAATCTTTCTAAATTTCGATATTATACTATTATGTTTTAGTATCAGCCTTGTGTTATTTTAGTTTCGATAAATTACTTGTTCCAATTTGGTCATTTTTCAATTCCAGTGTTGTTTTTCTTTTCGTTTTATTCTGATGGTGTAATATGTCTAATCCGAAACGCCCAAGTCTAAGTAAACACGCCGCTTTCCTTGTTTGGAGGTATTGTGGACAGGTTAGTCTCTAATCTTGTATATAAACGTTTCGAAAATGTATTTCAATCAAACGCTTTTAATAATATCCTTGTTTGTCTTAACTATAATCGTAATTTAAACTGTCAATTTAAGCTATTTAAGTGTTTGTTTTGTTTGTTTGTTTGTTTTTTAATTATGCACAAAGCTACACAAGGAGTATCTGTGCTCTGCCCACCACGGGTATCGAAACCCGGTTTCTAGCATTGTAAGTCCGCAGACATACCGCTGTGCCACTGGGGGCCTTTATTTTGTAATTCGGGAAGAAAAAAGGGGTCACACAGTTTTGGAGTTTGAAATTCTGTACCTTTCAATTCTCATACAAACCAACTTCGTCGAAAATACTGCATTATTAGAGTTTCTTAGGAGATTCGTGGTTTTACAACAACCTCCATTATTTATTCAATTCGTTTGCTGTATAAACAAACTTTTGTTAAGTACACTTGTCAAACTTGTTCATTATGCTGAGTTCAGGTTTATCACAGATTAAATTAATAAACTATCTTAAGGAAAAACATACTCTTTAAACAGTTTTATCATACTAACAAAAATCAATATAATCAATAACACTGACAAATAGTAAAATTTAAGAATTACTTTAGAAATGAAATGGAAAACAACTTTAGCCTGGAATTATAAATAAATAAAATCAGCAAATCTTACAAATGAAATATCATTCACCAATGTTTCTTTATTGAAACTATAACCGAGAATATAAACTAGAAATTAGATGTTTTTCTTTTTATGCAGAATGAGATCTGAAAAAAAAATTTTTTTTTTTTCAGGTGAAGCAAGCTTTGCAATTAGAGGTACGGTGTAATGACGGCGCCATCACAAATCGACTCTGCTTCGCGCAGAGTGTACGTGGTAGTGCCGCCTTGAGGTTGACGGAAATATATTTAAGAATAGAATTCGATCACATTTTTTATGAATGTAAAATGTGAGATTCCATTTTCTTAGAATTTTAAATTTTATGACGAAATGATAAGATACATTTTCTTATCACTCATTAACGTAAAAAACTAAATTACCAAGAAAACCTTACATAGGAACAGTTATTTCTGATTTTCTGGTGTATATAAAGAGTTCATCTAACTGCTAACGTGTTTTAACACATTGATACCCTAACATTTTAATAATAAATTCCACTTACCGGAGCAGAAGGAGAAAGCTTAATATACATAAGATTTTATACGAACAAAGTATTAACATTTGCTTATTAGACTATCTTTTTTAATTGGTGGATAACAAATGTGAAAAGAATGAGACGTAAAAAAACAGAAAAAAAAACATGCCTGTTTAAATACGTTTTACCAGCGCTAGTAAATGTAATAATATTATATCTTCAACTTTAGCATTAGGAAAATAATTTTTGTAGATAGGCCTAAACTCATAAGTTTATGACTTTTATTGAATTGTACTTTATCTTTAAAAACTGACGAATGTCAGAACTTTAAGATGTTTGGCGACAAAATGATAATACGCCTAATTTATATTGTGCCCATAACTACTTACGTGAACTAATTAAATTATTATAATACATATTATATAAACTAGTTTTATTTACAAAAAGATTAGATTATTCATTTCGACTGAGTAAACAGTTTTTTTTCTCAGTTTTCTATCACAATCAATCGCGTGTCACGTCATAAGTCAAGATGAACGAAGTTTTTGTTTTTTTCTAAAGGTTCTGTACTTTATCTATAAGCCATTCTCACCTCTCATTGTTATGCTGATTATTTGGACGTGCATATTTGACCATCGAGACTTATTGTGACGTCACACCATTTTACATAATATGAAAATAAGTTTCGCAATCGGAGACTGATTTGTTTCTTTATCTTAACGTGAACTTTTACAGTTTCACCACAAGTTCTGAGAGAACTTGAGAATAGTTTTGTTCTACGTTTAACGCTGGCAACGAGATGGACTTTTCGCCATCACAGAAAGAAACCAAGGTTAAAGTTGGTTGGAGGGTGTTCCGGCCACTTCCGTTTCCCGTTTTCTCAGATGTTGGAAGTACTGGTAACAGACTCTCTGTGGCGGTACTCACTAAGCAAGGATCTCCTCCTTTAAGACTGCGGGGCCAACTTTTACAGACGTTCGTTTTCTTTGGCCTGTAAGATAGAAGAATTAATTAATAACGTGCTGTGGTACCAAAATATTCCCCTGAACATCATGATCTCCAGGTATAACTATTTAGGTTTTGTTACTTGGATTCTTACCTCGAACCTATTTACATCAATATCACTATAATTATTTAAGGTGAAAGGTATGGCCGGTAAATAAACATTAGATTATGGGTTCCATACATTACCCGTTACTACTCGTTATTGGAATAATAACAAAATGACACATATATGGGTCCCGAAGAATACCCACTTCTACTCTACTACTATAAACTGGAAAAAGAAATTTATAGATATGGACGGTTAGTCTCTAATCTATCCCATTCTACTCTAGTTAGAACAATAATATAGTGGTAATTTGTTATCATATATGGGGTTTTGTGTCTTTTATTAAATATACGAACATAATCGTTTTCATATCGAACAAAGTAGTAACCAAAATATAATTTCGTAGATTGATAGTTTGAAATAACAAAACAAAATATTTGTTGTAATTTTAGTCATTTTTAAACTGTTTGAAATAAAATAAATTCAAAAGTATTAAACTAATAGCATATACTTCGTATACATCGTCATTAGGAATCCTTACAAGTTAACGATACAAATAAAGTTCCTTTTGATGGTAATTATCTTTTTATTTTAAGAATTTTTAATCCATATAACATTAATTATAACACACAATAATTTCAATAAGTTTCGAGCCACCAATAGAGGACGACAATAATCATCCTTCCAAGACACTGACCTCCCCCTTTTAACCACCGGAGGTTGGACTTTTTTCTCACTGACACCTTCAAACAACTTGAATAAGAGTTCCGAATTGGTTACTCGTATAATTCGTGACCCCTCAGACCTAGTGCTGGAAGCACTACCTTTTAATCGTTCTTCAGGTGGAGTAACTGGACGAATTTCTGTTTGAAAGTACAAAAGTATCTGCTGATTGGAGAATGTTATTTGAATCCAACTTCCGATATACTTCTCGAGTAATAAAGTGAGTTTTTTTAACTAGTTTGATATTAGTTAATTACAATTTTTATGTTTGATAATATTTATGGGTGTGCCTATGACAGGAAAAAACAAAACAAATACGGTTAGAACCATTTAGTAATCCACATAAACATACACACATAAAACCCTCTAGTACTTTAAACAGATGGACGTGACTTCTTCAGGGGGTGTTACTATTAACCCTGAAAAAGATAGGTTCACCTTTCGACACTGGAAAGCACTAGGGTTTTATTGGTTGTTTTAATTTTCAATGTAAGATCGTTTCTAGGTGCTCTGATGAATGTCATGCATATTGAAATAGCATAAAAATCACGCTAAGTAACTATACATTTACGTCAAAGGGAGTCAATATAGATGACCGAAGTAAATTTTAAGAGGGTGTGATATGCTAATATTGTATGCTTTTTTCAATAATTTGTCAATAACGGTGAACGTGTTTGTGCTCAAATCTACCAAACCTAAGTCAGGAAAACAATGTTGTATAGCATGAATTAAAACAAAGAACCCAACATGTTTTGGTAGCTTTTGATTCAGTAATTGCCTTCTTCAGGGTTAGTTTTTGTTACAGCTTACACGTGATTCATATGGTAACCTCAAAACTGAGGAATTTATCAAATACCATGTGAATGTAACAAAACATATAATGGACAAACAAAAATATTCTGAAAACAAGAAAAGAAATCATT